ATTCAGTGATTCTGAAGTTGCATTCTAATACAGTGGTGACATTCATTTTCCATTATTCCTGAAGTATCATAGACCATGAGCAAAATTGCAATGATGTGTCGAAAAATCCTTTCTTGGCCACTTTACTCCAGTGTTTGGCCATTTCGGATTTAGTTATTGGCCACAAGTATTTTGAAAATGAAACAAATTCTTTTGGAATTCCGTCTCCTTCATATATTCATTGAAGGGTAGGCCATGCTATCTACAAGGTGGCCCAAAAAGGGGCACTTTTTTAACGTGCATTTTAAGCGTGATTCTGTCAAATATATATTTTCTTGTTACATGTAATAGAAGGAAAGAAAGGCTCAGCTGCAAAATGCTTTTTTGAGGTTTTAAATATCTTAAATGATGACCTATAAGAGAAATATTGAATTTCGGTTACGAAAAATCGGAGTTGCGCTCACCGACCGCAGGCACATTCAATCATTCTCGCCACGTCTACTGAGGTCAGCGTTTCTTTTTCCCTTTTCGTAAATGTCAGGACGTAGAGTGGATGTTGGGTCAGGTTTGTGAGCACAACGCCGATTTTTCATAACCGAAATTCAATCTTTTTTTTTAAGTCACCCTTTAACTTATTTCAAGTCTGAAAAAATAACATTTTGTAGCTAATTATTTATTCTTTCCATTGCATGTAACCTGAAAAAATATCCTTGAAAGCATCACACTTAAAATGCTCATTGAAAAGAGTGCCCTTTTGTACATCCGAATTCCAACTGCTTCGCGCTACCTTTTCGCAAGTATGGCAGTGCTGACTCCAAGAATAATTTCTTCTTTTTGGGTCGTCCGGACACCCCAGCATTCCTGATCCCGGAATCATTTTCTGGGGCAATGCTTACTGAAGGTGAAAGAGAACAATTTTACGTTCTCCTTCACGATGGGGTTTTCCCTTAGAAACAACCATGATATTCCATGCTACCTTGGGGCAAAGATCTTGCCGCTCTTGGGGCAAAGCTGAAAAACCGACTCATTTGCCTTCCAGATACGACACGGATATTCCAGTCCTTTCAACCATTTTTCCCAAGTAAGCTCCTCTAGGACGGCTCCGATGTCAATTTCTGTTACAAATGCTGACACTCTCGTTACACTTTCTAGGGTGGGAAAGGACAGATTTGGATGCCTCCTCAAAAAAGAACGCCACCTCTTCTCCAGTTGTCTGCAAAACGATTGTCTTTGAACGCCGCATCCAGAAAGCACTTGAAGCTGTCCTTAACCATCTATCGCACAAATTTTGACTTGACAACAAAATTTTTTACATGACATGTAAAAAATTTTCTTTTCTGTGACGAAGCTATAAGTCTTCCAGTTTAATGCAATACTATAAAGTAACTTGATGACAGCATCCACCACTAGCCCCCCAGAACATGAACAGCATCTACAGGAATGAAAATAAATATTTGGAAAGTATCTGAAAGACGTTTATGTGCGAAGCACCTGGGAAGTTCGTTTGCGCATTGTGGCCTTCCATTTTCTATTATGAAAAAGCGATTTCTTTCTTGTCCATGCAGGGTAGATCGCAGGTGTGCCATGAACCTACCTGAAGTACCTACATCCCAGAAGAGGAACACGCACAACCATTTTGCAAGCAGGAGTGACATCATATTCATCCGGTTTCCTATTATTTGGACAAGAATGTATTTGATATTTTTGATGATGTACATAAATCACAAGCCCCCCAGAACATGAACAGCATCTACAGGAATGAAAATAAATATTTGGAAAGTATCTGAAAGACGTTTATGTGCGAAGCACCTGGGAAGTTCGTGTGCGCATTGTGGCCTTCCATTTTCTATTATGAAAAAGCGATTTCTTTTTTGTCCATGCAGGGTAGATCGCAGGTGTGCCATGAACCTACCTGAAGTACCTACATCCCAGAAGAGGAACACGCACAACCATTTTCCAAGCAGGAGTGACATCATATTCATCCGGTTTCCTACTATTTGGACAAGAATGTATTTGATATTTTTGATGATGTACATAAATAAATCCGATGCCAGCCGACAGTCACCGTTCATTGAATCTCATACGATTCGAGTATTTCGAATGTATTCGCATTGTGAAGAATTCGAATTCAAGAACATCATTTCATCAGCGTTTAACCCTGATATTAATGAAGTTCGTAATTGGATTTCCATTTACATGAAGCTTGGAGCGTTTCGGTCAGAATGGGTGCTGAGCCAAATGCACAAAATCCCACCCTGGGAACATTTTCTATGACTGCTGTGTGCCTGGCTGGGAATGGGGTGAATTGTCTGAGAACCCAGCTTGGCTTCTGGAGCATTTGGCTCAAGGAATTCACATGGTCGTCGCCGAGGAAGCTCCGTGTGTCGTACCGAGGAACAGAGCGGTCAGGCAATAAAAGGGTCAGATAGCGAAAGTGGTGCCATTTTCACCATGTAATGGAATGTTGTGCATGCATGCCATTCGACGGCTCGTTGAAACGCATTTGGGAAGTGGGAGCTCAAATTCTCTAAGTCGAGATGGGGATCACCTTTGGCCGGCATTAGAAGCAAATTTTGTCACATGTTTCCTTCAGTAAATGCATTCATTTAGACTGACCATGAGCCAGTTTCTAATTTTAATTATTTTATGAGCCATTATAACGTAACATTCGATACAGAATATTCAAAAACTGTGGCATATAATTGCCATATGGTTTGGGCGGTACGAAAACACCAGAAAAACAAACTTTTATTGGCTTTTTGACTGATTGAAACATTCACTCTCTAAATGAATCCCGTTTGTGGTGACAAGTGAGAGAAAACGGAGAAAAAGGAATCGTTTCATGGATCGCTGTTTACAAGTAAACGTATCTCTATTAGTTGAGCAACTCCGAAGAAAACATCCAAATGACAAGATCACATCCCCTGTGTAATTCCACTCCATTTTTTCCTTATCCGAAGTGGTTCCAGTCGGAAAATGCGCATTTTCGAATAATATACACGTGCAAAATTAGAAAACCACACTGGATATGTAAATTCTCTGTAAAATATATGATACGGCAATAGAAAACTAATTTCTCGCCTTAACAGTTTGCTGCCGAGGACGCTCGTTTCTATGGAAAGGATAACGACAAGGTGCGTCATCGGCAGCGAACGTGTGAAGCAACAAATTCCACAAACCACACAATACTGAAGTGCATCCTTTTGCAGAATTGTTTGACATGTGAAGAGTGGGGTCTTCCACCCTTTTTACCTCCTAGTCCTACAGGGAAGAACTCTTTGTTTCCCTAAAAACGCACCTGTCCGGTAGACTTTTGTGGGGATTAGAAGGGAAAACCATTAAGCAAAAAAGAGGGGAAGGAGGAAATATACTGTGTATTCCTCCTGAGGTGTTAAAAAAAAAGAGTTGGAGGAATCTCATTATTTTCTACTCTATCATTTTCCATACCTTTCTATTCTCTTCATCATGGTGTGTTGAGATGAAGTGGAATAATGTTAATTATTTCATAACCCACATGAAATTATCTATCTTATGATAAACTGTTAACCATGATATGGCATGTTAAAGAAAATGGTTTTGAGTTCTAAACTTAATTTTTAAATGTAATTACTGACCATCCCATAAGGGAACAGGAAAAATTACATGATATTATCAAGAATTAAATTTTAAAGTAAGAATAATGGTATATTATCCCCAGGAGGATGGGACCATCCTGTAACTGACTGGGGTAAACACATAAAACGAAACCCATAAAGATAATGAGAAAGTCACACCATCCTGATGACTTTAAATGAATTAAGTCGAGGCCAACACTAAAACTTAGCCAATGGGGACAAAAGGGGGCCAAGTTGTGTATCCAATCCGAATCCCGGATTTTGGAGAAAGGTACCCTGGCTCCCCCCAGAGGTACCGAGGATATTAGCAAGAGACTTGGACGCTGGAGGCAGTCGCTTTTTGGAAGGCACCATTGTGACCTTACCATATCCGAGCTGACTCCAAGACAACCTACCAGTTGTAAAGGTTAGCCCTGTCCCTAGGTTATGTAAGGAGTGTGGCCCGAGTAACAGAGAGAATGCACAGTAAGATAAATAACATTCATTCAAAATTATTAATAGAATTTTCCCCAGTCGGATCCTTCTCACATCCAATATTAATTTTTACATTGTTTACTATCATCCTATTAGAGAAACTCTGTTTTATTTGAAGAGTCCAAAGAATACATGGATATATTTCTTGTTGTTAAATTCTTTAACATGTAGTGTGGATAACTGTTGCTTTTGATATTTCATTATTGTCTTTATTTTTAATAAAGTTAGTACTTTACTTGGAAGGATCATGAGAATTTCCATTTCTCCAGAATTTCTGTCTGGCGAACCTGCCTTGACACTCGAATCTAGGACAGGGCAGGTGATCAAATAGTACTGATCACTTGTTACGTCACATACACGCCTGGTCTGACAATGGGTGTTATGTCTAGAGGAGGTGGCAATTGGGAGTTCGAGACATTCCGGATGGCAGCCAGCGAAGAGAAAAAGATAATCCTCTTGTTTATGGCATAAGAAGGCCACGATGTTCGGGATATCTGCGAATATTTTGCATCTCGGTATGGCGATGCTGCATTCCCAGGAAGCATGGTCGAATTTACTGTCAGAGATTCCTAGGGCAAGTGACGAAACACGTGGAGAATCTTCGCATTCGATCATCATTTTGTCACTGTTGAGTTTGGAATATTCGATTTGTAGGGTTAGTATTATCACAATGATTGAAGTAGTGGATAGGATAGGCATTAACTCTGGATCAACTCAGACCATTGGGATGGATATCTGCTATATTTCAAAGTTTCGGTCGGGTAGACCCCCACGGATGTCAACGTGAATCGAGTGCGAATTCGTGTCGACATGTTCACAGAACTGCTGGATCATTTCCATGAAGAGGGTTCGGACATTCTCTTCCGCATTGTCGCACGTGGGTATCATCCAACAACTTATTCAAATTCATTTCCACAACTGAAAAAGATTTCACCCACGAGAAACCACGATGGAGGGAACTATTTTTCAATGATGCAGCGCAGGGAAGCGACGTCACAGCTCAGGCCCCGACCATGCTGTAGACTACACAGCCTGCCAGGGAGATAAGGCCAACGACTACAAGCAGTGTCACCAGCTGCCACTTGGAGTTGCTCCCCAACATGGACCTCAGGGACTCCCTTGGGTTATTGAACCACTGGGCTGAGCAGTCAGGATGTCTGAAATCGTGGATAAGTCAGTTTTTCAACATTTTGAAAGTCCACGCAATATTTCATTATTTGATAACATTTGGTTTCTCTTATTTACATTCTCAAGCTAATTTACGGCGAATGGAATAAATACTGACCTTGCTTTGCCGAGTGGCTCGGCATCGCTTTGACTCAGACAAGCAGAGCTCTGTTCTCCCTCCTTATTTACAGAGTGCAACTCCGCCTCAACCTGACCCTGAATGGTAATGAAAAATCCCAAGATGAGAATCAAAAGTGTTGAGAACTTGGTAGCAGGATTTACTTAACGCAAAAGGATCCTAGGAAATCGCTATAATTGCAAGCGATCATAAATGCTGTTTAAAACATAATCGGCACCATACCGTTGAAGAACCCACTAGAGACCGAATTTGCGATGTACACATGGGACAGAAGAGTGGATAATATTTTTCTTCATTTTCTTTTCCACTGAAGGAAAATTCAAGAGTCATCCTTTCCCGAAAAAAGGCATTTCAATTTCCAAGGGAAAGAAACAGGAACATCAATGAAATATCTACAAGTACGAAGTAACGATATAATGATTTTCCAGTCAACACCTGCCACCTTGAGTGACTTGTGCCTTGTTGATGGTCATGGCAAAGGACAGCCGGACAGGGAACTGGAGTCTCTTGAACTCATATGGTGCATCAGTGGGGATGATGGTGATGCAAGGAATGAAGACATCCTCACCTTTGGCACGCCCAGTCATGATCCTTGCCTCGATGACATGAGGATGAAGATTTTTCACACACAGTCGTGTGCCATTGCAGAGTTTTGGAGGATCAAGGTTCCTCAGCAACATGATTGGAGTGTTCACCTTCAGGATCAAGTTGTGAGGTGGCATCCCCGGTGGTTGCAAAGAGTTCAGGAACTCTGTCGGGTAGTGTACTGCCTGGTGGCATTAGAAGCAAATTTTGTCACATGTTGCTTTCAGTAAATGGATTCATTTAGACTGACCATGAGCCAGTTTCTAATTTTAATTATTTTATGAGCCATTATAACGTAACATTCGATACAGAATATTCAAAAACTGTGGCATATAATTGCCATATGGTTTGGGCGGTACGAAAACACCAGAAAAACAAACTTTTATTGGCTTTTTGACTGATTGAAACATTCACTCTCTAAATGAATCCCGTTATTATTTATCTTTCCATGGGATAGCATTCTTCAAGATCTTTCGTAGATGTGAAGAAGAAGAGAGACCATAGCGAATATTGACTCGAAATGAAACACATGAAGCAAGAAGCACAAATGAGAATATACTGTACTTTGAGTCAATCTCATCTACAGAGCTTGGTAGCTTGGATCAGAGTGAGAAAGGGTTACCTAGAACTTAGCATGTAGGCCTTGGTTCAAGCGTATCAATTCAACTTGATTTTGCCATATGGGATTGGAGGGAAGAGTCTCCGTTGAGACAGCAACTAACTGAGGGTGAACAATTACTTTTCAATGTATTCATTTCTAGGCAAGGGGGAAGAAGAAAATTAATTTGTTACATTTATATTCCTTCTTCTGACTGCTAGTTTGCATACATATGTCTTCCTTTAAAATGCTTGCACCCAGGTGTGGTCTATAGTAGGTTCGCGACGTATTGGCAGCGCGAATCTCCAAAAAAAGACCAGAAATATGAACTATTCGCAGAGGTCTTCCATTCCTCCGAAGTTCAGCACGAACAGCTACCACATCTCCACTTCTCTTCGTGGAAGATAAATAACCCAAGGGATTCATCAAGCATGTGCAAAATGACCTCATGCATCAAAGAGGTACTCACCCTATATTTTCACCTTATCCAAGAAGTTCTTCGAAAGGGAGAGAGGCGATCTAAAAGTTCGATTGGTTCACATTCCATAGCTATGATTAACGGCGTGAAACCTGATAGCATTTCCATGCCTAATGACTGAAATGCCATTCTCTCTTAAAGAAATCGTCAAAATATTTTTCGGCCTGAAGGGTAAATACAGGCGATAGTCTGGAGCAGGAAAAGAGATAAGCTGATGAATGAGATCGATTGATGCCTATCTGATCTCTCGTTTTATGTAAGGACCCTTCTTGGCAAATCCGCTCAAATCATGGAACAAAGGTGCCACGACCGTCTGGAATTTTTGTAAAAACATTTCCTCCAGACGCTAGGCTGGAGGAAATGTCACCTAATAGTCGAACTTTCAAGTTCCTATTGCTACTAGTTCACTTTCTTTGCCTTTGAGGAGGAGGTACTTGAAAGAAGAAAAAAGCGAGCTTTGACTATATGTAATTATGAAATTTATTAGTGAATTTCAGCAAAAGTTTTCATTTGAAGAAGGAAATCCTTGATCTGATATTACCGAGTTTCTTTTGCGCCAAAGGCAAACTCGATTAATCTTTATTCAATTTCAGTGAGCACTGGTTTTATCTAATGGTATTTACTGTGCGAAGTTTTATATACATTTAGCCACATTTACACTTGCTGCCAGATATTGCATAGTCACCTCCGTCGTCCAAGAATCATTCTCGAAACATGACATTCGAGTCATCATCAAGTTCCACGTTCTGCTCAACCACACCAACAGAAATCCATCAACTGATGTAAATGGATTTGGGTGAACACTGTCCAGCTCACGAGACGATCCAGAAGTGGTCCAAGCTTTTCCTGGAGCTTCTGGATGGACCTTGAATATGAGCCATGAAGTGGGCAACCAGGGCGACCAACACCTGGTGGCTGGTGTTGAAGCGGTAACAGGTCGTCCTCTTCGCTCTACAACTTGTTAAATGAAACTTTAAATGTCTTGGTAGGTTCGGTAAAAGGCTACCGACGTTGAAATTTCAAGAATAAAATTTCACTTCTCTTTGTATTGTGCGCCAGGTGTTTCACCAGTGCCCTAGAAACATGACATGCTTTTCGCCAAAAAGCCTGAATCTTACAGCTGCATTTTAACTGCAACTTTCTTAAATAAGAGGCGTCATTATGGACGCAACATTATCAAGAATAGTATGATGAGGCATTTCTCTTTGACATAAACAAAGGCGTATGAAGGAATATGTATTGCTTCCACGGAGATGAATATTTTCAACGAAGGAGACTGCTTTCACCTCATGAATGAAAAAAATTACATTTCACAACTGCACTCAAAACGGACATTGCTTTCATCCAGATAGCCCAAATGCGCGAAACTTTCAAGGAATAAGTATTGTAATATTTCCAGTGTGATTCCAAAATTCCCAAACCTAGGTCTTCTGTGGGTGACAAACAATGCACTTTTTTCAGTCATCTGACATGTTCTATACCTTGCTTCACATGCCCAATATGACTCAGCATAAACGCATGATTCTCCTCAGAAGAATTAAAAACATGTGAATACTATTCTGCATGTTATTGCGACAGTCTATGCCATAATAATCTGTGTATCAGGTAGCTCAACGAAGCTTTCTGGATAGCCTCTACCCATTATTGCACCATCAAAAATGGAGGTCTGGATTGTGTCCAATTTCTGTGATTACGCTAGGCGCAGCTGTAAATATATTAACCTTCGTGTCATGTAAATGTTTTCCTCATTTCAGGCTAAGGAATAAAGAGATATTGCAAAATTGGAACCGGTGAATATGCAGGGCTTTTGAAAGAGAGGATCTCATATTCGTCACACCGTAATCTATCTCCCTCACTCTATATGATCTTACATTGTCATGATGTAATAACAATGTAAGATTGAATATTACCCAGTGGATTCAATTTGTTGTAGCCCACTTTGAGACTGGTGCCACAAATCCTATGGCATTAGATCTTCACGCGTGCAACTTGTGGTTATTTCCGGGCACAACGTCTAATTGCATTGTCTCCGGTAAGATGATACCTCCTGTAGTTCGCCTTGCGCAACAAAGGGCCTCCCTTCAGTGATTCCCTCTAAGACGGATCATACGAGGAAACCGAGCAGCTGAAGGAAGTTATTTTGAAAAGGAACCAGTTACCTTCGGTACGAGGTCGGTGAGCTATACGCATTTTGTCCTGATACTTTTCAATTTCCTCTTTTATCAGGAAAATTTTTTAAAATTACTTTTTAAAAGCGGACATGGTGAAGGCTTTGCAAAAATAAGATTCTCCCTTACGATGAGTGTCCATTCATGGGCCACTTGTAAAAATATTTCATTATGTCGTATTACTTCTTTGACTCAATACATTCTGATTATTTAAAGATATTTGACTCATGTTCAAAATATTTGGAATATTTTGGAAACTTCACATTTGACAATTGAGCTCAATGCGTCAGCAGTACCGTTTTAGCCAGGTTTCACCTTTCCATGTCTCTCCGTTTCAATGAGGCAAAGAAAACTATTTGAAGTATTGAAAATATGTTTCCCGAAAAGGTGTGCCTCTATGACATGTATCATCAAAGTTGAATTTTTCCTGAACTCAGCATGCGAATAGCGACTTATGTCAGTCAGTCAGCTACTCACGGTCCTCTAAATATAATAAAGGTAGAAATTTTTCTTTACTCACCCATCCATTAAGTTCTTTTTTGGCAAGTTTAAACTTCATAGCGCTCGCTGTTTTGCTCGATGGAGATAATACGCCTTTTGCAATATATGTGCCTTTAGGCGTTTTAAACGAAAAGAATATTTTTTAAAATCCGAAATCAATGTCAACCAACCGAAATTAAAACCGAACTACATGCCCACAAACTTTCAACCTTACACGTTTGCCCTTTTCGCGGGGGAAGATATATATTTGGAAAAGCCGAAGCCCCCAAAAGCTATGCCAGGAGGGGATGCACCATAAACATTGAATACTCCCTTAACTCAAGAATATTATGTCACTTGTGCGTATGCCAAGTTTCACCTTCCTTTTTTGTCCAATTCGCCATGACAAATTTTTTTTTAAACATCCCCCCCTCGTAAAAATTATTCAGGGGATGTATCGAGACTTAACATTATTCTTTACCTCCTTGTCTCAGTAGTCACATTCATGGAAAGTTTCAGCTTTCCATGTTCACCAGTTTAACACGTTGGCGACAATGCGTCCTGATGCCAGGATGCAGATTTTTTTTCAATGAATACCCTCTGGAACTGTTGTTGAAGGCAGGACGCATTTTTTGACAAAAAAAATGCGCGTGGTCCCACGCGGCGGACTAGCAAAAATAGGCTGGTCGTCAACGTGTTAACTGATGCAAAGAATTATTTAAAAACATCTCCCTTTCAAATCTGTGCCCCCTGGGCATTTACTTCCAAAGTCTAAATTTTTCTGCATTCAGCATCCCAATAGGTAGTTATTACCAAGATTCATCTTTCCACACCAGATCAATACGTAAGGGCAAAAAAAAATTACGCGAATACGTGGGCCCATAAATATAGGCCCCCACAGGGCATAGGTATTAAATTTTACATTTTCCCGTACTCATCGTCTCGATAGGCACGTCCAAGCCAAGTTTCAGCTTTCTGGGTCTCCCCATTTAACTCGAGCAAAAACATTGTTACGGAGGGGGAATGAGTAACAGAACAAGGAAGGCATGAGAAGTCAAAAGAAAGTCAAAAGGCGGCCGAGAATTGAACCCGGGCCTCCTGATCGCCAGTCTGGTGTGCTACCAGTACACCACCGAGCCTAGGCCATCCGTTAACCTTCTCGATGCCATCCTAATCCGTCACAATATATATCTTTAAAAATTTCTCCCTCCAAAATGTGTACCCCCGGGTATGTACCTCTAAAGTCGGATTTTTTCTGAACTCTGCACCCCAGTAGGTAAATGTGTACCAAGTTTCCGATTTATAACTTTTCTAGAATATGGTTGGAATTAGCGTCAGTCACGATCGTCTATATCTAAATTCGCCATTAAAAATTCTTTTTTTTTTCATAGCCTCAAAAAAATTCCCCCAGGGAATATCGACACTTAACATTTTTATTTAACTCCTAGTCTCAGTTGTCACATTCATGCAAAGTTTCAGCTTTCCATGTCCATCAGTTTAACTGATTCCTAAAATTAGTAGAAAACATCTTTTTAAATTTGTGCTCCCAGTGCCTTTACTTCTAAAGTCTGAAGTTTTCTGCAGCATCCCAATAGGTAGCTATGTACCAAATTTCATCTTTCCACAATAGGTCAATACGCAACGACAAAAAATTACTTGAAAACGTTGGCTCACAAAAATATGCCCCCAGGGGATGGATCTGAAATTTTGTATTTTTCCTGAAGTCATCGTCTCGGTATGCTCGTCCATGCCAAGTTTCAGCTTTCCATGTCTCTCCGTTTTACTCAAGCAAAAATCATGTTATGGAGGGGAATGAGCAACGGGACATGGAAGGCAAAAAAGCCAAAAGAAAGCCTAGGAATGGCCAGGAATTGTACCCGGACCTTTTGATTGCCGGTCAGATTTGCTACCGCTACACCACCGTACGCAGCACAACCAGTTGACTCTCACTGACATCCTCATCTGTCACAAAATATTTTTAAGAAAAACGTTTCCCCCCAAAAAAATGTGTACCCCCAGGGCATGTATCTCCAAAATTGGATTTTTTCTGAACTCTGCATCCCAAGAGGTACAAGTGTACCAAGTTTCAGATTTCAAACCCTTCTAGATCATACCAGTTTGGGACGTAAACTTCAATGAAATGTCTGAATAAGTTGATGACGTAGAGTCTGGAAATTCAATATATACATGATTTCAAGGTCACGCGCTTAGGTAAGAGGAAGTGCCTAGGGATTAGAATACATGTAAAATGGCGTCGTCTGTGAAGCCACTCTCTTCACTCTCTCACTGTCCTTAGAAAGCCTTTTTGTTCTTTTGAAAGTCATTTTTGAGAGAAGCAGAAAAAGGAAAAAAAGAGGGACACAAACCCCGAGACACTATTGGACAGAGTCATTTTCCAAGGTACAAAATTCAAGTGAAAAATTAGACTTCAGAAAAAAGGAGCATCATTTTCCAATTTATCATAGATAAATCGAAAGGGATTCATAAATTACTAATCTTAGAAAACATATATAGATGTCTTGGCAATATTGCTACCTAGCTGAAGCAGCAGGCGTTGCTAGGGGAAATGCAATATTTCAGCATGAGAAAGTGGAGAACGTGAGACTTATTCTTTTTATAAGTTACCGTTCTTGGGGCTAGCAAAATGCGCTGGGACCTCCTTTCCCTTTTTGCACTTTTTTTTCAGAGGGTTTTTGAGATAATTTTTCTCTACATTGTAAATATTTAATTTATTTTTTGTTTTGTGGGTTTCTTTATTCTGAGATTCATGGTTTGCGTTTAAATGCAATTTTTTTGGAAAGCCTTTGATTTCATATTATTATTATTCTTGTTGCAGAGCTATTTGATACGCGATGTTTTTGGTTTTCCCATTCTGAACAACGACATACAGATTCTTTCCACTTTCAACTCTTGAACACCCTGCATAAAGTTGGCCATGATAAATGCAAGGAGTCTCCAGCTTAACACCTGCAACCTAAAGCGACTGCCCTTGAGCTTTATTGATGGACAATCGCAAAGGCAAGACGCACAGGAAACTTTAGTCGCTTGAATTCGATGGGCATATCAGTAGGAATGACGGTTATTCGCGGTATAAATACATCCCCCCTCATTGTGCAGCCTTTCAACATTGTTGCTTCAATGACATGAGACATTCGATTTTTTTTCACATAATCTTGTGCCATGGCACTGTGCATCGAAGTTCCTCAGGAGCATGATGGGAGAACCAATTTTGAACGCCAAGTAATGTGGCGGCATCCCAGGAGGCTTGAGGGTGTTAGGAAACTCAGTGTGATACTGAACTGCCTCGTTAATATTCACAACTGTCAACTGACTCGTAAAATAAAGCTTCTCCAGGCATCAGTTGTTGAATCTTAAGTTGATGGCATTCACACTCTTATTTTTAGGAGAAAGGATGAGACGTTCACAAAGCCATTGGTGATAGTTGAAATGGTAATCGATGTTTGGAAACACATTGGTTTCCAATACTTCAATTGACTCTACTATATTGCAAAAGCTGTTCGAAATGCTAATGAAATGGGTCAACTGGCACTTTTCCATCGCCAAGAATGAGCAGTTATTGAGCAAAGTGGCGAGGAGACAAGTGCAAGTGACTTCGCATGTTGGTTGTAAGTCGCAGTTTGCGTAAATGTCTCCAGAGTTATGAAGCTTTCAAGCAAGCATTACGTTCATTGGTCATTATTCCCTTGGAATTGAGGGGCAGTATTGACGAAAACCACCTGCCAAGATTACAACAACCCCACCTATAAGTGTATTGTTGTCCCTTAGGTCCTGATGGGTTCGATCGAGTGCCTTCAATGCGTGTTTGTGGCATCCCAGTGTGCATCATCCTCAAGTAACCCATTATTTGGCAGGCCTCATGAAATGTTGTACATATATGACAATTAACAGTCATAAGGGCTTCAAACGAATTAGGACCTCTGACAGTGCGAAGTAGCCCAAGCAGCATGTTTACGTAAACAATGTAAACAATGTAAATTTCGTGCGATAGTCATGAAAATGACATCAAGTTTTTATGCAAAATTAGCACCACACCATCCACATAAAACTTTAGTTGACGATCCTGCAGTTGCAGTATCAATATTCCTCACTAGATGGAACCCTTGTTCTCTGCATCCTACAAATACTATTAAGTACTAGCTTTCCTGATATAATATCAGGTTTCATCATCATCCATCTACTTTTTATTATGAAATCTATGAATATATATATGGGAAACATGACATTATTAGATATTTAAAAAAATAATATATGATTCAGGGAATCATTAAATGCTGAATTTAAGCTTTTTAATTTAGCAGTGCACGGGATTAGGGAAGTGTAGAATCCCAGCCGCACTAATACTACATCTCTATCTTAAATGGATGAGAACTCCTCTGAACATCAACTTCTCCTCCTGAGGCTCCGGTACAGGAGGAGGAAACAGGTCATTTTAGTACTCTTGAGTGCTGGTGAGGATGAGTATTAATGTACTTATCCAACAAACCTAGAGTTTTGACGTTTGGAAAGGAATGGGAGATACATAGTATCAATTCTCTTCAAAGGTACTGATTGGCTCGTTAAATACACATAAATGCTAGGGGTAATTTAACATCAGTTTGACGTAAAGGTAATGAAAACATGCTGTTTGGAATGCAAACAGGAATGTCAATTTTACGTGTAGTTTACGTAAATTTTTTATCACCGTTTACGTATCACAGAGGTGACATTTCTGCAAACATGTTGACATTATCTTGACAATGGTTTACCTAAAAATGATATAAAATGGACAAAAATTTACATTCATTTTAAGCAAAATTAACATAAATATGTTGTTTCGGAGGAGTCGTAGGAAGAACCATTCAATGTTATTTGGATACACATTATGGACGCGGCCAAGAGCATCTGCTGCTCTTATGCCATAATACCCAGGTACAGCGGCTCCCTGAACTCAACGCTTGAAAACTTTTATTGATGCATCCCAAGTTCAGTGCTTGCGAACATCTCATTACAGCAGCGTTTTGGCGAAGTCGTCTTGCTGGCAGAGAAGGAAAAAGGCAGTCAATGTAGTCTTCAGCGGCTCCCCAACTCTCTGATGTAGGATGTTTTCCGTGAAATAGAAGCGCGGCTCATTTTCCAAGTGTACACTCAAATGCACAATCAATTGTTGAATTTGGAATTTGTGAATTTGGAAAATCCAGAATTCCTCAGACTGTCTCATTGCTGTTGATGTACCTACCCATCTGGTAGCGCTCAACTTCATCGACTGGGGCTCTATTTTTTTCCAAGCCAAACACTGCCTGGTCACTGCTCTAGTTTAAGTATTTCCAGGTATACTTGGTGGACTTATTCTAGTTTCAATACTCAATAGTGATGTTGTCCAGAAAGATCCAAGAGAGCAATGGACAGTACAGCACAAACCATTTGTTTTCCATTTCAACCTCTCGGTAGAAGTTGCCGATTTTCATGTTGATTTTAGTTTTTACACCACCGTCATCTGCTCCTCTCCTTTTGTAGAGGGGATACCCATCTTCTTCGGTTTGACTTTCATAAAGAAGGTTTTCCGGGCATTTTATGGTGCACTTTCCTGTCCTTAACGCATGAAGAGCTGGGGTTGACACTACCGCTTCTGCTCCAGAGTAACTTCTGCGTCAGAGCACCTATTTCGTGCAAAGTTTGGTTGCACTGGCTCCTGCGGGGTTTGAATGGATAAAGAAACAGACAAACAGACAAACTTTCTTCTTTATATATAGAGAGAGTTGTGGTGGCTACACATGCCAATACTGTTAACTGAGTACTTGGGACTAATTTGAACCACGAAGGTAGAGACGTCCCATGAGAGGACAGACACTGATGCTGCCTAGTCCTCTCATGCTTGCTTTGAATACATTTTGGACAGCATCGAAAGTTTTAGTCGGAGAGATGACACGGGATTGACCTTTCGCCAAATTTTCTCTGAGAGACCAGCACATGTGACTGTGAAGAAGGTATGGAGACCTGGCTATGCTGAAGATATTCGGCTCTCTTACTTTTGAATTATATCATTCATGTTGTCCATATACCTGTAAGTTGTCGATTTCCTCATGCCTTTCTCAGTGTTTTTGGCAATGGGGAACTGCTTGTGAACTCAATGACCACGTTCAATACGAAAGTATAGGAAAGTTCACCAAGAAACGGATTCCTCCATATCCTCCTTTTCTGCAAGAGTAAATGCAGTACAAACTTCGTCATAAATGTCCCGAAATGCAACTACTTTTACAGAAAGGTTCAGTGCATAGTAGAATTAAACATTTGAAAATCCTTTTTAGAAGTATGATTTTACAACAAATTTCCATGATTCATCTACTTCGTATATTCGCTTTCGTTTCGAGTCTCTGACCAGAAAAGGAAGAGTGAACCTCTTCGATATATCACTGAAAAGATTAGGTGGTAAAGGCAAAGGTTCGATCGGCCTTTGTCTCCGCTTTATTGGAAATATATTTCTTGCCTCTGTGGAGAAAAATTAGATAAGCAAGGTGCAGGAGTTCCATGAGTGGGAGTAGAGATTACTCAGGTCACATGGAGTGGAGGGAAGGAGGAGATAGTGGAGACTACATGGTATTATCCCCTCGTCGAATGACTCATGATAAAAGATTTTCTGAGAATGTGACTAAGACACTCATGGTATGAGTATGAAGGTTTGCACATGCTTCATAGCAATCGAACGGAATGGAAACACAGAAGCAACAGAATGTAAACCTGGGGAGTAAGGCAGGGAATGTGATGAGGCGGGCCAAGACAAGATAGACTTAAAATGAGATGACGTCAAATGGAGGTCAAAGGTTTTTCTTAGGACGACAAATGTACCAGTGTATCTCGGTGTTTCTTCCGTCTTCATCCTATTGGCATATTTATTCATCGCACTCATTACTATATTGCATTAAAATCTGAGAAGATATTGCTTGAATTATTCATTAAGACCATTTGTCCTCGTCAACTGGTTATTCTTTGGTGATCGTTTCACCATACTATCTATATTTTCATTACAATAGAAACATTTTCGTATGCCTCATGCCACCTGCAAAGAAGACAATCTTTCGAAATCCTTCCATTAACCCGTCTTTGCCCGTGATGGATCATTTGCTGGTTCAAGAAAATCATCATTTTTGTTATAGGAGATCAAACCCTTGCTCTTTTAAATTGCACTTTTATTCATATTTATTTTAAAAACAACTTATATGGCGGAGATGGCCCCTCTGGCGTGGGTTAAGCGCCAGGGGTCTCGCCAAATCAATTGGAACCATCCTGCGTGCGGGATGGCAGAGTGCAAGACCCTCTCAAAGCTAATGTTAGACTATGGGAAGATGTTTCATTGTGCTTTCGGGGGACTCGGATTACTCTCCAATTTTCAAAAATATATTGAAATACACGTTATTTAAAATAAGCATTGATAGAAGCGAGAGAAGAGGTGAGACCTCGTAATGAAGCTCGAATAAAATAAATTATCTTGAGGCGATCGTTAAACACACTTGATGGTTAAAATGGGCCCTGACAATTACATGGCTAAGAGATTTTCTGGATTTAGGTACCTGAAAGGTGGCCCATTTCGATCAAATGACATTTGCATGTCATTTGATTTCAGCCAACCCAGCTATAAAAAAAATCATTATCAGGCCCCCTGCTTGTCCTGTAATTGCATCCATATTTGAGAAAGGCCTAGAGGAGAGTTATTTAATAACTTCTGCAGCTCCACCCTATAAAGAGGGAGAAGCTTGTCGATATTAATCTGTCTGCTTGCTTGGGATGGTAGTCTTTAGGATAGCGATAGCTGCATAGGGTCAGGAGAGGGGATCTTAAAACTTCGTCCGAGGTAAGGGGAACATCCTGGGACAATTGGTGAAGGCGTTGGGAATGCCCAGAGTAAATTTCCCCGTCTTATCTAGTCTAGTTACCGGAGAGAGAGGGAAGAAGGAGAAGGAGAGAGAGAGTGGGGGGGGGGGGGGGGCGGAGAAAGAGAGAGAGAGGGAGAGAGGGAGGAGAGATGAAGCCGGATGTTGAGGTTGTGTGGCGTCAGGGGGGAGAGAGTTTCTAAAGGGATTTGTGTGTCTGCCGGTGATATGTTTGTCTCAGGCGGCGAGGCGGCGGTGTAAGCTGAATATTGGATATTCAGCTCGAAATCTACGTTTAGTCCCTGGTGCTTCTTATGAAAAGCGACCATGTAGTTTTGGACATCCTCAGGGCAATGTTCCTTGTTATAATACAAGAACGCTCGTTCTGAGGAGTTCATGGGAAGGTGACAGGTTTCTGACACGAAAGACGTAGCCTGTCGGGAAGTGACAAGGAATGCAGTGCGCGAACTTGATGGTGGTACGTTCTTTTCCTCCCAAGTTCGTCGAGAATCACTGGGGACGTTTGCCCAGGCAGCATATCCGTATGTGAGGAGAAAACGAATGTCAGCTGCGCAATGACGCATTATAATACGGGGTTGGCAGCCGTCGTCACGTGATAGTAGCTTCAGGCAATTTAATTTGCAAATTGCCGTGAGGCGCATCGTCCCAACATGGGAGGCTCAACTGTGGCTTCTGTGGAAGGTGATTCCTAGGGACTTGCAGGTGGGAGAGGATGGAATTCACTCTCCATTCATCCACACTGGCATCCTGAATTCTTCATATTTGTAGCCTCAAATAAACTACCATGGGATAATAACGACTCCTGTTAGTGAGAATGACCGTATAAAACTATTCCCTCCGTGCATAAATAATACCAGATCCAATTTCACCTTGTATGGTATGCTGTACATGTCAGCGTACATAATATGATCATGGTATGAACGAATTTGAATCCCAAAAAATGTGAATTCCTAAAGTATTCTCTGAAGCAGGAAGAGGAGGATGCTTATGAGGAGCGTGGCGTATACAAGACCAGCAACCCAGAGCTTAACGTGGCTGAAAACAATAGTCCTCCACCTCCATTACTTGAGTTTGACATATTATACATGATGTACAGTATATTCTCCTACGCCAGCAGTCAAGAGTAAAATCTCATTGATTGTGGTCAGAATATGTAATGCCTTCCACTTGTATTTTCCAGCGTTTCATGGGATTCATCTCCGTAAAACATTAAAAAGCATCGACATCGTTTTGAAAATACCGTGGACAACCAACTGATGTGGATATCTAAGTGCCGATTCTAACATGGAGCGTCCTCTAAAAATAATGTTCCTCGTGTCATTGACTAACTTCTCGAAAGGAGATGATACCGCTGAAATAAATGCAATATACATATTTTAGAATTTACGGAAACCAAATCCACGTTTTCCTAAAATTCATTGAATGCCAAATCTCCACCTTTCTTCTCCCCCCGAACAGGGGGAAAGCATGGTGATACAGTCAGAGCGTTGTTCACAGTCGTGAAAGATCGTGGGGGGATGAAGCTGGAGACCTTATCGGAGCGATAATTCCCTATGTCAACAACCGAGATTGTGAGAAGAAATGAGGTTGTATAGAGATGCAGCAGGGTGAAGGAATCGACCTTGACGCGACTAAAAATGACTCACCGACTCCACCCGTTACTGGTATGGATGAGGATTGTCTGCCACGAAGGAGACAGTCCAGTTGCACCCCTAGCACTAGGCATCCGGTCTCAGACTTCTTTAAGCCCCAACCATCGAGCTCGTGGAAATGCCGCCATGTATGGCGGTTCGACAAACCCGCAACCTAATTGCCGTTCATGGGAACACTGCGACAGCTATTGATTCCAGCAGGAATCGTAGGATTAGGATTGAATGAAACATACTAGTACTAGCGACCTGCGGCCGCTACGCTGGCCGTCTAATAGGCGGAAATTTGATTCTTCCATTGTGAGCATAACATGTCCATGACATCCTCTGTTCATCGCATTACCCATTCGGAACTGAACCGCTTCATCATATTTATACACATACAGCTTACGGTACACAGTGAGACTTTGTTCCTAAACACCATCATCATGATATTCGAGCTGATTGCCACAATCGCCAATCGTGAACGCCTCGGTTTAGCAGGTTTTCATGAGACTCAAGACGACTTTACTGATTTCGTTGTCAAAGCACATTCAATACTCTTGCATCACCGATTAGTTTATGGGGCTATTAGCATTAGCTTATTGCACAGATACTACTGATTCTGAAACAGTACGGGGCATTTCCAAGAACTTTTTCGACTTTAGCACAGAAGGAAGTTAGTGCATGTGCGGCACAATACTAACGAATAATTCCTGAAAATGTGTCGCCGCCACATTAGCACCAGTGACCAACACTTTCAGAGCCTTAGGGTAAAGTGTGAGTTTCAGCAGAAGCACTTTTCCGTTGTGGCAGCAATATGAAAAAGATGCCCCCCTCCCTACAGGAAAATGTATAGCCTGACAGAGTTCGCTGCGGCAAAGGACTGTAATTATTGAGATGACATGGAGAGGACATGAAAAATGTCTTGAGTTCCGTGGTGTAAGATGTAAGGTGTAACACACCTGACCGGCAAGCAGGAGGTCCGGGTTCAATTCTCGGCCGCCCCCCGGCTTTCGACACCTGAATGCTGCATTCCTTGCTTCAAGTTGCTCAGCAGGCTCCACGGCTCTCCTATTCCTGAGCTCAGCATTCACTGCCCCATGCTGTTCAGCGGGCTGAGCGGCCCTACGCTCCCTACATACACCTGCTTGGTGTTCATTCATTCCAGCCATTTCGGCTGGCATCTCTTAAAGCACCGATTTAGGCACTTCGCATCGCAACTGCAGTGGCAAAGGTTGTTTCCGCGCCAGCATCAATCTTTTTTTTATCTGCAGCGAATGGCTCATTGCCGTCCTTAGCACCTCCAACATTTTTTCTTTGCGTTCAATATCACCTCACAAAAATCGCCACCATTTTGATGGTATGAGCGGGCCGCTTGCGCGACATATGAAATAAAAAACTTGCGTGATAATGTTGATTTAGTCAATCGAGAGAACTCAAATAAATCTGTCATGACATGAAACGCAAACAGTAAACTATTGCATGGAAGCGATGCTGACAAAGCCCGACGAACCTGGCGCTAAAAGCGTTGGATGGCCAAGCCTATGGCATAGAATAGCATAGCCTCATGGACCTGGCGCTTTGAGCGGTGGATGGCCTAGCCTATGGCCTGAAGTGACAGTCTCGTAGGCCTCGCGCGTTGTCGTGACAACCACCACCACTACTACCCTCGGGCATAGGCCAGCTTGCAGTAGGCCTGGCCTATGACCCA